GGCTCCCCTACCCTCCCAACCCACTTCCCGACACTCCAAACGGCTCCCGTAGCCTCCCAAACCACTTCCCGACACTCCAAACGGCTCCCGTAGCCTCCCAAACCACTTCCCGACACTCCAAACGGCTCCCCTACTCTCCCAAACCACTTCCCGACACTCCAAACGGCTCCCGTAGCCTCCCAAACCACTTCCCGACACTCCAAACGGCTCCCGTAGCCTCCCAAACCACTTCCCGACACTCCAAACGGCTCCCCTACCCTCCCAAACCACTTCCCGACACTCCAAACGGCTCCCGTAGCCTCCCAAACCACTTCCCGACACTCCAAACTGCAACACTGCTTGGAAAGGGTGAGGAAATGTGCAGAAAAAAATCGAAATTACATTTTAAGTAAATAAAAGTAATGAACTAAGACTTGAAGTGAACGGAAATGAAATATAATCGCAGAATAATGGTTTTAAATGTATCTGAAATACGAGTATTAGTGGCTTAAAACCATTGACAACCTAACAGCTACATAACATGCCAACAACCAACAGCCAACATAATAACGGTGAATGGCAACAGATAACTATTTTTGCTGCCAATTTTTTATTATTATTTTTTGATTTTTTTTTTGTGTTGTTGATGCTTTTGTTAAAAATCATTTTCGACTTTTGCACAATTTGCATTTGCAGTAGAAATTGCAAAGAAATGAAGCAGAAATCTACAAAATTCTGTAAACACAATACAGCACAATACACGCTCAAAGGATTTATAAAAAAGCGGTAGCTAAACACTTATTTATAATTCAATGCCTTCTACAAAACCAGGAGCGCTAAACCGCAATCAACACATTTTGACTGCACCGCATTTCATTTTCTTCGCAGTTTAGTTAGGACAAAAAAAAATGAATAAAAATGTATTTCGGTTAAAGGAAAAGGATATGGAATAGCAGATTCATTCAAAAATAAGATATTCCATTTGAATGGCAAGGGTTGCGCACGCTTCAATGTAACAAAAATACTAACTTCGCCCATTTAATAATTCAAACTCGAAGTGATGCGAAGGGTCAGAGTATTGGTTTTCCTTGTTGTATAAAATTTGTATTTTCTTTGGGTTCAGAGACATTCTGACTTTTCTAATATTCTTACAACTCTAGCCTGTGTAAATGTATGTTAGGTAAAAATCCATTTAAGAGGAAGGTTAACAAAACATATTCTGTATTTATTATCATTTAAAATTATTCGAGCATAATTGAACACTTAAGATTTTAAGGGTATTAAAATATGTTTTAGGTAAAAATCAGCTGTGTAAATAATTTGACACAATATCTTTCGACAATGCGAAGTGACATCTCACTACTCTGTCACTACGCAGATCTTGTCGGAAAGCCTTTATCTATTTCAGGATCCCTCAACTTCAAGTGCCAAACTTGTTTCCCGGTATGATATACGTCTTCTTAGGAGAGCTAGTATGAGTTCCCGGAATTTTGGAATCTAAATAAGTCCACGCACGGAACGTACTTTGAAAGAAAAATCTACTCTGGAGACTGACAACATTGTTATGATAAGAGAGATAACTGAGCTTTGTAGTTTTTAACATCTTTTTTAGTGAGTAAAATAATTGTTTACTGGATTGCCAAATATTAATTCAGTTAATAATTATCTTTTCCACCAATCCAAATAAAATAACAGCAAATTTTTCGTTTGGCATCGTCTTTAGTCGTAGGAGTTACATTTTTCTTAATAAAGCAGATAACATTTGCTGTTATGCAGTGGTACTTCTTGAGATACTACTATTAAAGATGGTGTGTTTAATAAACTAGCTTTATGTAAATGACATAGGCATCATATTGTTAAACATATATATCTATATATCTATCTATCTAGTTAGATTTCTCTTCGTTCATACATTGTGTTATTACTGAACGGCTTTAACCGCTACATATTTTTCTAAAGCTTTTACTTGTTCCATTTAGCCTTTATACGACTCTTAATAAAATAATGAATTTGAATGACAACAATACCTTATATGGAAAATAAATGCAATAAATTTGAAGTGCCATGATATTAGTCACATAAATGTATTTATATATCTGAAAAGCTTTTATTGGTATATTTGTATACATTCTATACCATATATCAAATATTTTTCCAGATTCAAGTTTTGTTTTCTCACAGGTAAAAACAAAATGTGCAGTCATTTAAAACATTTCGTTGGTTACAGAGATTTCTTTATTTTTATTTAATAATATATTATAATATCGAAAACTTCAAAATGTGCACATATCAAATGAAATGCAAAATTAGCAGTTTCTAAATATATATTAACAAAATCACACTCACTTGAATTCAGCATGTTTGATGTAAATTTGGATAAATTTTTTAATTTAATCCACATATCCTACCAATAAAATATTTGCTCTTGAAAGTTTTTCTCATACTAATAAATACTAAAATAAAAACTTGAACTGCGGATCGCGCTATTTTACTAGTACAGGTAAGTAGGAAAAAAAGTCAGAAATATTAATCTCTTTATCATCTTCACCACCTTTGTCTTTATTTTCAGGGGTTAGTATTTTGTCCTTTCGGTTCCCTGAATCCAATTCATTTCTCTTAACCTGCTGAAAGTAAATTAATTCACAAAACATATTATATGTGTTTGCCGTAAAACAATTTACTTGTGTACCTCTTCTTGTTTCTCCCCCTTATTTCCTTCTATAACCTTTTTAATTGTGCCATTGTTGATACTTAATAATTTTTGACGTTCATCTGCATTAATCAATGGAGTTTGACTTGCTTTTCCATAACGCTTTTTATCATTTTCAACTGACGTTCTTGCAGTTTGATTTTTTTTGCAAATGTCCTCATTGACATTTTCAACATCGCAGTCTAGCTGGTTCTTTTGAATTTCTTCTTCCTCGTGCTAAAAAAAAAGTTCATTGCATTTTAATATTAATAAAATATTTTTTGTTATTACTTCTTGTTTTTCTCCCTTATTTTTATCTAGAATCTCCTCTTTCATTGTGCCGTTTTGGATCTTTAATAATTCTTGACGTACATCTGTAGTGATTTTTGGATCCGTATTCCCATGCGCCTTTTTGTCGTTTCCCACTCTCATTGCTGTTACTGGACATTTTTTTGCGAATGCCTTCTTTGACTTTTTCAGCCTCTAAGTTCAATTGGTTCTCCTGAATGCCTTCCTAAATAAGGTTTACATGAAAAATTTTACAAATTATATCATTCATAGTGATTGTTATAAAATATTTACTTTATGTACTTTATGTACTTTATGTTTCTCCCAGAGTTTTAACATATTTGCGTACCCATGAGCGGCTCATTTTGGTTCATTCTGCTCACGGCTCATGAGCCGGCAAAATACTCTTTTCATACGATGGCTCACGCTCACGAGCGAGCCCAACTACAGAGCTCATGCTTACGAGCAAGAGCCGTCATTAAGTTATAAATGGGCTTACGCTCGTGAGCAAGAGTATGAGCCCAATTTAAGATTTTATTATTATTTTGTTTTTGTGAAAACGTCATTAGAAAAGATTTAAAATATTAATAACCTTGAACTAATTATAATATGGAAATAATCAAAGTTCTTATAATAAACAATAAATATATTTGTATTGTTTATTTGTGGAAAATAATATTTTATAAATTTGTTTTTCAAATTGAAATGATTGTTTTAATATAAATAATAATAAGCTAAGTTAATTTCAAATTATATATTTTCACATATAACGTTTATAAAAATAAATAAAGCAAATAAACTAATAAATCGCTTTTTATTAAACAGTTGAGCTCGTGAGACCTCATGAGCAGCTCTTCAATATGAGCAACTTGAAGGCTCACGCTGGTGGGCAGCTCTTCAATAAGAGCCAATTTTGGGCTTACGCTCATGAGCCAATTTTGGGCTCACATAAGAATTGGGTCTTGCTCATGACCTTGAGCAGCTCAAGCTCAAGTACGAACCCTGGTTTCATCTCCTCATATGCTCTTAAAATTATATTAAATTTCACATTACCGAATACTACCTGATGTATGTCAATACTGACCTTTGGTGCTTGCTGAGACTTTGCGTGTGCCTTTTTATCACTTACCTTTTCAAGTTTCTCATGAACATTCCCTTTGACTTCTCCGATCTTTGCACCCAACTGGACTTTTTTTGTTTGTCCCTCATGTTGCTTAAATTAAAATAAATCACAAAATATATCATTATATATTGATTGTCATAAAATATTTTTATTTTGTACCTCTGCTTCTTTATTCTCTTTAATTCCAACTAAGTCCTTCCCATCAGCAAATCATTTTCGACGTACATTTTTGGTGATCCTTGCTTTTTGTCGCTCTGTGCTGTAGTTCGACGGACAAAAAAATTTTTGTTTTAAAATGAACTGGTTACCTATTTTTACAAACTTCGAATTATTCTATAACATACTTGATTCTAATAAAAAGATAATTAAATTAATAATGTTTTTTACTCCACATTATTATTCTAAATACTGTACATTAATATAATACGTATATAACAATAAATACATACATTTGACAAAAATGTAGACTATAATTTTCAAGAATTTTGTTCGAGCAATTCTGTTCAGTGGTGTGTGTAAGGCATTTTAGGCATATCATGGGTTTAGCTTTTGTTATATTTTTTCTATTTCATGCGGGGTTGCCAACAGTAGGATTTTAAGTGATATAAACGATCACTTCAAACATATACTTCCTTAAGTTTTTTTTCTATGTACAAAATTAAATTTATTTTGGATTTGTGACGCTAATGCCTTTTTGCTCTTGACTTCTACTTGGGTTACCTTTTTTTCGTTGATTTTAGTGCCTATTTTAAGTACAAATTCGCATTTCCAGCTGTGGTTTAATGTATGCGAGTACAAATAATAAATATATACTGCGAAATTATTATCAACACAGTGTTAAAATTATTCAAAATCTTATGGAGCAGAAAATAGAAAGTAGAAAACTGATAGCAGAAAGCGGGAAACAGAGAGTAGAGAGTAAAAAGCATTAAGAAAAAATTTGCTTAAGCTCCCGTTTCGCTGTCAATATATCGCAAAGACTACGAATAATTTATTAAATTCACAATATTTTGACAAATTTTTTTGCTGGAGCAGTGAGCGCTGCATGATATGCCATGCCCCTCCTCATACTCTTTGTCAGTTTGGTTGTGTTCCGTACTTAGTTTGCTCGCTTGGTTTGAAATTTGATTTTGTTGCAATTTCATTTTATACTTTTGTGCTGTTTTAAAACGTAAAATAAAATAAAAAAGAATATAAAGACATAAGCAAAAAGCTTAAAATTTTAATTTTTTGTGTCAAATTGTTTTGTATTTTTTTTCGGTTTCTGTTTTTGCTTCTGAATTGAAAATTATTGGAATGAAATTTGAAATTTGTTTGCGTTTTAATTTTTAACATTTATTAATTATGTTATTAATAATAATTTATGGCCTTAATTGTCATAAATTTGCTAAAGAGCAACAACAACGAATTTGCCTGAAAATATGCAGGATTTAAATTCATTAGTTGTGTTGATCTAAAATGCCTTCGCGAAGTCTCGTCTCGTTGTTTGCCCCTGTTTACTACATATGTACGCAATATATTTAAAGATATATATATATATATATATATATATGATAACGTGTGCCTATGTGCATGGGCATGTATGGTGATTGAGTAAAGTTTGCCGTGTGTGTCAATGCAATTAAATTGCGCCTAAGTGCAGGCAAAATAAATTGCAAATTCATGTTTTGCATATTCAATTTCAATTTGAAATTCAAATTCAATTTTGTAGAATAATTTGCATATAATGAAATCGATTTTCGAGCGATTGCAGGAACAATTATTAAAAATAATTTCATTTTATCAATGCATAATTAATGCTGCTGAGCAAATAAAAGGAATAGCAAAACAACAACAACAATAAATACAAAAATAATATTTGTTATTTCTATAACCGAAAAATTTTTAAATGAAAGGAAAAACTGAATGGCAAATAAAAAAAAATGTATTTAAAAATTGAAACATTATTTAGTATTTATGCTGGCGAGTTTTAAAAGCAAATTAGCAATTGATAACCTTTTTTCAACATTCGTTTTTGAGAGAGATGACCTTTTTTATTAAGAAATTGTGCCTAGTTTGCACAATTTACGCTAAAGTTAATACATGGCAAAAAGCTAAGTTGTTGTATTGTACAATCAACAATTGAAAGTCAACAATAATTGGCTGTTGTTAATCCGGTTGTGATAAAAGTGTTAAAAAAAGTGATTTCCCTGAAAATTACTGAAATATAGTAAAAATTTTTTACAAAATTTTTTATCTATAAATAAAGTGTCAATAAACCATTGAGAGTATAAAGGAGGGTTAAAATTCAATTCAACATTTGTGTATAAACTTAAATTACTTTTAATTTTTATTTTGAAGTGTGGTCACTGAAGCACCTAAAAAAAAGCAGTGAAATATACACATGATTAACAAATAATTTAAGTAATATATAAAATAAAGTATAGAAACTATAATATCTGTGTTAAACAATAATTAAACTATTTGGTTAGCGCTACAGCTACAAGAACAATTATTAAGCAAAAGCGCTCAAAAGTAGACTATATTTATTTTATTTAATTTTTGTTAACTTTTTATTTAAAATCAAGTTAAAATAAAAATATATAAATTCATTTTTTTGCGTTCCTGTGGAATGGGCGGTAGAAGTAGCAAAAGAAACATTTTGTTAACTTCTCCAGAAACTACAAACATCGCCAAAAAAGCTATGCCGAATACTAACAATAATTCAGTATCACAAGATGTCTTCTGATGGACTGTTTTTGACGAGCGCTTGGAAAGTATTTTGGATAACAAACTTGAGAACGTTGTTAAGAAAGATGATCTACAATTATTGAGAGAAAAAATCAACTCATTAAAGCAAGAAAATACTTTACTTAAATAAGAATTATGTTGTAAAAGGCTTATCGGGTGACACTGCTATCGTATGTCTACTGAAAAGGAAATTCAAAAACTGTGCAGTAATGTGCTGAAAGCAAATGTATCTGTGTGAACTGTAAAAAACTACCTGGTAATGGCATTTTTATTGGAATACTTGGGTCAAAATCGCAGGCTACAGATTTTATCCTCTAGGACGAAATTAAATGGTATAAATATTTACATTAATAGAGATTTCACAGTGGAAGAACGGTCCTAAATCTGCGCGCAGTATTTAATGAGCTTGAAAGACTGCATCCTGGTGTTCCATTAGGTCATTACTCGCTTTTTGTTAACAACAAATCTTTCACTTGGAGAGAAAACAAAGTTATTGCTGCTACAACAGGAGATGCGAAAATGATTAACGACTTGCTTATGACAACAATGTTTTAGTGCGATACAAAACAAAATATAAGTATCGTCAGCTGATGGATATCAACCCAGCAAGAAATACCCTGGTCTACACTGCAGGAGACGTTGCCTTGCCGGTGAACTCTAATTAGCAATTATCAGTGTGCCAGGTGCTTTCTTATAACAGAGCTGATTTAAAAAGTAAATTTAATCATAAGAATTTTTTCACTTTTGTTTAACGTACCTATATGATATATTTTTTCTATTTGAAACACATGTACTGGTCGAAAACAAAAATAACTTTACTTATTTCTTTCAAGATTATATATTGTGCTGGGTGGGAGCGTCTAAAATTCATAAGGCTGGCAGAGTGAGTGATGGTTGTCTTTATGGTTATAAAAAATGTTTGGAGAAAATACATTCCTTTAAATGTCTAAACTTTGGTGATAATGTTGTGCTATATTCTTGTGCTAACAAAGTTAACTGTTTCTTCATTCCACGTTATTTAAATTGCACAAAATTGGAGGAAGTTCTTTTAAACTGGAACAATTTTTATACGATTTTAATAAACTTGTTTACTGTATTGTTGGCGACTTAAATGCTCATGTAGTAGATAATCCAGTAAATGATCGTAATTTATTATCTGATTGCCCACTTATTGAGGTAAGAAGAGTATCAAAAGATGTGAAGCCTGACATTAAGAGAAGAAAACTTCTAGGCTTGCTGGAGGACATCGGTGGAGTTATAATTAACGGCAGGTATCAAGGTGATGAATATGGGGAATTTACATATGTGGGATCAAATGGATCAACTGTTGTTGATTTCTGTGTCTGTTCATTTCAGTTACTTACATACTTAAGCTCCTACTGATCACATACTGCTGGTTATTGAGTTTCGTTTTCCATAAAGTTTAAAAGTAATTCCGAATAACGTACAAGCTCCGAAAAAAATGCGTTGGAAAGAATATTGTACAGGTAGATACATAGAACGTGTAGACAACTTGTTCTGATTATATTAGTACTAATATGCAGATTGATTTTAAATTGGATGTATTTCTTGAAAAAGTTCGCGATGCGTGGGGAAATTAGGCATTGAATAAGCATTTTGGACTCAAAAATGAATGGTTTCCAGCGTACTTCTTACTTTGCACTCAGATCTTGATATGTATACCTCTGCCGTAATAAAAAACTTCAAAGGCAATTAAAAAATATTGAAGCACTTAATACTGTTAAAAATGCTTCTGAATGGTGGAATCTAGCAAAAAATTTGAACAACAGTCCCCTCAAAGTAGCTACTTCTCTACAATGTGAAGACTTTTGTATTCACTGATTGTCCCTGCTTACATGTAATTCCGACCTTCCATATATCTCTTGGTGTCTTCTGCCTTTTTTTAATTCTCTCCTCGACTTTCCTTATGAACTTCGTAAACTCCACCTTTTGCTTGCAAACACCAAATCTAATAAAGCTCCAGGTAATCACAGCATTCTTTATGAGTTCTAAATAAACGATTCTCCTGGTTTCCTCAACAAGTAACTTACGCTATATAATTATATATTTCTTCAAGGTGTCATAATATTTACTGGTATACTACTTTCGCGTATGAATAGCTGGGTGGGGCTCAATAATATCTTAAATGAATACCAAGCTGGATTTCGCAGATCTTACTCAACTGTTGATAACATTTTTAGTCTGACCTTTATATACACTAAAATTTAAGTAACAATAACCAATATATGCCTTTTTTGTGAATTTTTGATGTGCATTTGACACTATACCTAGGAAAGCCTTATTTTTCAAATTAGCTATTATAGGTTTGTCTCATAAGTTTTTGACCACGCTAATGAAATTAAACTCGAACACAGGCAGTTGCGTAAGGGACGGTAATCTTGTGTCTTCTTCATTGAACATTAGTCAAGGTCTGCTCAGCCTGATTTTGTTCTCTCTATACTTAAATGATCTGCATGACTTTTTAACGGGTGGATTACCTATTAATTTAACACATATAAAAGTGCTTTTGTATGCTAACGAAGTGGTTCTAC